TTTTTTTTCTGATGATTTGATGATTTTTGCGGATGGGACTAAGAAATCCATTAAAGGGATTTTAAATGCTCTTGAAGAGTTTGATAAGATGAGTGGTTTAAAGATAAGTTTGGAGAAATATATCCTATTTATGGCTGGTAACACGAGTCAAAGGGCTAAGATTCTGGATGGTTTTCGGTTTGCTACGGGGGACTTACCAGTTCGCTATTTGGGCTTACCTCTTTTGACGAAGAACATGACTGTTGTGGATTACCTTCCTCTTGTTGAAAGAATTAGGCAGAGAATGAGTTCTTGGAGGGGAAGATTTTTGTCTTTTGCGGGGAGATTGCAATTGATTAACTCAGTGATAATGGGTTTGACAAACTCATGGATGGCTACTTTTCGTCTGCCTAGTGGTCGTATAAGAGATATTGAACGTCTTTGCTCTGCCTTTCTTTGGTCAGGTCCTGATTTGAATGGGAGAAAAGCAAAAATTGTATGTTCTGATGTTTGTAAGACAAAGCAGGAAGGAGGGTTGTGGATTCGTCCCTTAAAGGAGGTTAATATGGTGAGTTGCTTGAAACTGATCTGGAGAGTCTTATCTTCACATTCTCTGTGGGTAAACTGGATGAAGGCATATCTTATTAAAAATGGCTCTATCTGGATGTTTAAGGAGAACACTCAAGATGGACCGTGGGTTTGGAGAAAGATTCTTAAATACCGGGAGCTTGCTAGAGATTTATACATAGTTGAGGTTAGGGATGGGAAGAAAGTGTCATTTTGGCTTGAAAAGTGGTCCTCTTTGGGTTATTTGAAAGACATTTTGGGAGAAAGAGGTAGTATGGACATGGGTATTCCTATATCTGCTACGGTGTATGACAGTAGAAATCATAGGAAAAGATGGCATCGCTTTCCGCTTCTTAATAAGGTGGAGAATGAAATTGAGAATTACAAACTGAGCATGACTCAAGAGGAAGATAAGTCTATGTGGAGAGATGGCAATGGCAAATATAAGAGTAAGTTTCTCACTCGTGATACCTGGTTAAATATAAGAGAGAATTTTCAAGATTGTCATTGGTATCAGGCTATTTGGTTTAAGCATGCTACTCCGAAGTTTGCTTTTATTTCCTGGATTTCGTTGTATGGAAGGCTTTCAACTGGTGCTAGAATGAAGAGTTGGAAGAATATTATGCATCTTGTATTCTTTGCCAGAATCTCTTGGAGACTTTGCAGCATTTGTTCTATGAGTGCCCTTATTTTGAGCAGGTTTGGGAATCTCCAGTGAAAGGAGTGATGGGAGAAAATTATACTGCTAACTGGGGGAGAGTTTTAAGGCAAGTTATTAGGAACTCTAATGATTGTAGAGTTCAATGCTTTGTTACTAGGTATGTTTGGAAAATTTCTATTCACTCCATTTGGATGGAAAGGAACCGGAGAAAACATGGCGAGATCCCAAATCTGGTGCCAATTTTGGTAAGAAGAATAGATAAGATCATGCGTAATAAATTCACTATATTGCAGAGAAAAGGGGTCAAAGAGTTGGAAGAAGGGATGCGTTTCTGGTTCAGTACTAGAGTGTGATTTTCTCTCGAAGAAAGTTGTGAGTTTGGAGTTGTTACTTATTATGCAAGGTGTTTCTTTTTGTATGTGTTTGGAAGGTACTAAGGAGTTGGAGAGTGGTATGTGCTATTGGTTTGACACAAGATAATGTTCCAGTAGGAGTGAGAGCTGGCTACTTAGTAAGAGTGAGGACTAAGTAAGTTTGAGGAGGATTTGAAACCAGTAGGAGTTAGTGCTGGATACCAGTAGGAGTGAGTGTTGGATCCCTAGTAAGAGTGAGTGCTAGGTATATGTTTTGAGCGAAGTGTTGGGTACTGATTATGAATGTAGTGCTGGATTAGCGAAGGTTGAGTAGAAGAGTTGAAGAAAGAGATTTCTTTTTCAAATTCATGTTTTTTTATTTATTCTTGTTTAGAAATCAGAAAAGGACACACATAGCTGTAATAAGGTCTTTTTCTTTTGAATTAAATTTAACATTCAATTCAAAAAAATCTCTATAATGTTATTTGAGAAGTCACTTTTCTATGTGTCGCTCTCACGTTCACTTTCACGATGGTTGATTACACTAATACCCTTAATGAATTAAAAATAGTTAAAATAGTATTATTCATTCTTTTATTTAGTTTTCTTTTCAAAAATTTCCAAAAATATATCTAATAAAAAGGAATTTTTTTATAAAGTCATAAAAACAAATTGAAAACGAAAATATATGTATATATAATATGATTTCATAAAAAAAGAAAATTCACAAAATAGTAATAATACATTTAAAAATATTTTTAAATAACATAAAATATACTTTTAGAATAATAAAAATAGTTTATAGTTAATATATTGATTTTTTTTTATTTTTCATATATTTAGTTGATTATAATATCTTTCAATTACAGAAAATTATCTATAAATTATATTTTACTTATATAATATTATTTTCAAATACAATCACAATTTTGTGGAGTGCTTATTGCTAAGAGATATTAAAAACTAAAATTAAATTTAACAATAAACATCGCTTGGTCAAATAATTAACAATTAGTTTAATGAGCTAGATATATGATATTTTATCATTACTAAAATTATTTGTTTTCTTAATACTAAATTTTGTTTTAAATTTTATGTATTTATGTTTGTGAAACTAAATATAACCATAATAAAAATACCAAAGCAAAATCTGAATTTCCAATTTTAAGATTATTTAAAATAAATTTCAATTTACATTCAATAGATCTAAAGCATAAAATTATTTAGAATTTATAAATATTTTAATTATTGTAAATATTGATGTGTGTTCATGAGCTTCCAAAAATGTATCAACTACTTATGCATGTTACATTTTATTGATCATAGGATAACTCAAAACATATGAGACTTTAGAATATTATTGTTATATTAATTTACGTATATTGGAATCATACACTTTAGTTAAGTTTTAATTCATTCTAAGCATAATATATCTTAAGTTATACATAATTTTCCTAAAATATATTTACATATCTAAAACAACACCAGTACATGTAAATAAGTAGTTAATTAAAAATTAAAATATTTTTAAAATATTACAGTTGAATTCAGAGATACATTCCAATTTATCCAAATGATAACTAAATCAACCATAAAAAAAACAAAATCGGCTAGATATAACATATATAAAATTATAGTATAATTAAAGTAATATAATATTATTAATATAAAATATGCATACAAATTATAAATTAACTTAAAATTAAAACTAAATAATAATCAATTAGTATCATATATATAATTTAAAAATACTTATACCCGTGCATGAGCACGGGAAAATCACCTAGTAAAAATAATTCATGAAGTCAATCTTCCTATTTAGAGTATGACGTCAATCTTCTTTTCATATTTCTATTATTTCTGACATTCAAGTCATACTTTCCACATGTTTTACAAAATAATGCATGAATTATTCTTCTTTCCATTGATTTCTGAACCATTATGTTGTACTTGTCCTATTGAGATATATTATTCTTGCTTTTTGAAGACTTATTAATCATTTATAAAAGAATTAAATTATTTATGGATTTTTATAAATCAGCTATAAAATTGATAATATATTGTATAAGAATTTATAAATTAGTTTTAAGGGCTTATGAAACAATTTTAAACAATGCATTGATGATAGTAAAACTTTTAAAATATTAAATGTGTTTTAGTGATAAATAAAACCATCAACTATTTTTGATACGTAAGAAAAACCTTCAACTAATTATAAACTCTCAACTTATAAACCGTTAACATATGTCACCCTCCGTCACGATATGTTAGACAGATGGTAACATACATTAATGGAATTAAAGTATAAGATTTATTTCGTAGGATTTTTAGTTGAGAGTTTATTTTATAACTGATCTCTTTAGTTGAGAGTTTATTTTATAACTGATCTCTTTAGTTGAGGAGTTTAGTTAGGGGTGGACAAAAGAGCTGAACCGAATCGAGTCAAACAGAACCAATCCGAACCAGTCAACCGAAGCCAATCCAAACCAAACTTAAACGAAACCGAGAACCTAATGTGTTTTTTATTATTTAAATTAAACATACTAGCAATACACAATACAGTAGAACCTCTATAAATTAATACTCGATAAATTAATATACACTAAATATCTCTATAAATTAATATAATTTTATAGTCCCAAATTGATTTTTTGGTTCAATTAGTATATCTATAAATTAATATCTCTCTAAATTAATAAAAAAATAAAATTTTAGTGTAGTCCCAACATTATTAATTTATAGAGGTTTCACTGTATATTAAAATCCTAAAACTAAAGTTATTATCAACTTTAATAACGATGTTGAGTTTTTAAATTTTCTATTTACTTTAGTTAACTTTAATTTGATTGTGTTCTTATAATTTTTTGTAATTTTAAAAGATTTTTGTTTAAGTTTTATATTAGATTTAATTTACAGTGTTTATTTTTATTTACTTTAGTTAACTTTGATTTAATTATGTTCTTGTAAAATTTTGTGTTATGTTTTTATTTCCATTTTATATTGGATTTAGTTTACATAGTTTATTTTTTCATAGTCACCAACATGATGATTTCATGATCGTGACTTTATGTTTTCTAACATTATTTCTTTCAAAAAAACTAAATTAATGGAATCTGATTAAACTTAACCAAACACACACATCGAATTGAGTACAAACTGAACCGAAACCGATCCAAACGAATTATAGTTTACTTTGGTTAGACAAATATTTTAGAACCGAAATAACCAAACCAAACCGAACCGATAAAAATAACAAAATGTCCATCCTTTCTTATAAATCAATTTTAAAACCCATTAATTATTGATTAAACTTCAATTTCTTATTCTCTAATCATTTATTTAATCTATGAGAAAGCCTTAATAATGTAAGACTTTGGAAAACGCGAAAAAAAAAAAAAAAGTGTAAGCAATTCGGAAAAAGAAAAACAAAAAATAAATATTAGTGCATGACGTGTTTTTTCCTTACTTGACGTTTTCTGTTGTCCCCAAAAGCTGATAGGGTTTAGGGTCTTACAGAGTTCTAGTTGGGAAGACGAAGAAGAAAGCATAATCAAATACAGCTTATTTTTTCTTTTCAGTTCAGTCCCAATTCAAGCGTCAGATTGTTTCCGTCTCAATTCCAGGTTCGTTGAAACTGATTCATTTCCATGTCAAAACCTCGATTCCTCCTCTGGCGGAGCCTTTTGATTTGTAATTCTATTTTGGGTGTTTTAAACTTTGTTTCAGAGGAATGATTCTCCCATACTCGACACGATTCACTTGCTGCCATGTTAATGGATTCACCATCATCCCTTCCCCACTATTTCCCCTCCTCTCTGCTTCTTCTCCCCTTTGCAAAAGAAACGGTTTTGAGCTTACTTCTTCGGTTAGTTTCTCTCCTCTAATTACTTAAGTTCCAAATCAACTCAATTTGAAAACTTTTTTCGCTTTGGCATATATGGCTACAAGGTTAATGCTATGAGGTGTAGAAGAAATGTGAAAGCTTTTGGGTTAGTTGATAAACTTGGCAAGAAGAAATGGAGAGGCAAAGATGAAAGCGACAGTGATGAAGATGATGATGATGATGATGAGGTGGAGAAAGATGCATCTGAGAAAAGATCAGCAACTCTGGATGATCCAGAGGAGAGACGGGAATGGAGGAAGAAGATAAGAGAGGTGATTGATAACCATCCTGATGTTGAAGAGGAGGAGATTGACATGGTGGAGAAGAGGAGGAAGATGCAGAAGCTTCTTGCTGATTACCCTCTTGTTGTCAACGAGGAGGATCCTGATTGGCCTGAGGATGCTGATGGTTGGGGGTTTAGCTTTAATCAGTTCTTTAATAAGATTACTATTAAGAACCAAAAGAAGGATGATGATGATGATGATGATGATGATGATAGTGAGAAAGAGATTGTTTGGCAAGATGATAACTACATACGACCGATTAAAGATCTCACAACTGCGGAATGGGAGGAGGCGGTGTTTAAGGATATCAGTCCGCTCATGGTTCTTGTTCACAACCGCTATAAAAGGTCTGTGGTAACTGTTTGTTTACGGTCAATTTTTCTTTAATGTTAATGCTCTCTTTGATTGCCTCACACCTGAGTAGTCTAACTTTCATGCTTACTTTGGTTGTTAAATGTAGAGCTATTTCAGGCATTTGGTTAATTAGTTTCTATGCACATTCCTGAATTTGAATAGGTTATTATTTGAGCTATGTTGTTTATGGATTCAACTCACTTTAGTGTGTAGAATTTTCAACCTTTTCTGTATTCGTAAGCAAGTTTCTGGTCGAAATTCTAAATCATGACTATAGTATTTTCAGCTTTGTTGCTGACCTTTGACATGTGTATCTGCTAATTTCAGGCCTAAAGAGAACGAGAAATTCAGAGAAGAGCTAGATAAGGCAATTCAAGTAATATGGAATTGTGGACTTCCTTCACCAAGAGTAAGTTTGCACAAATCTCTTTACTAATTTGTAAAACCATTGTTGGATCTTCCTGTATGTCTTTGCTCTAATCCTCCTGGCTCATTTTTGCTTCCAGTGTGTTGCTGTTGATGCTGTGGTTGAGACAGATTTGGTTTCTGCTCTGCAAGTATCTGTGTTCCCAGAGATCATCTTCACTAAAGCTGGAAAGATATTGTACCGTGAGAAAGGTAATGTCTACCAAACCTGAAACGATTCCATACCGAAGTCTCTGACTCTCTATAATCTTTTTGTTTTGCTTAGAACAATGTTTTTGACATATTTTCAGGCGTTAGAACAGCAGATGAGCTCTCAAAGATCATGGCTTTCTTCTATTATGGGGCTGCAAAGCCACCTTGTTTGAATGGTGTCAACTATTCCCAAGAACAGATTCCTTCAGTTAATTTGTAAGTGTTGATATAGCATAGGCTTTGTGATCATGTAAACTAGTTTCTTCTTTAAAAATTCTGAAGAAAATGTATGAACTTATGAAGAATTAATATATCTTTTGAATTTGAAATATGTTTTATTCTTCTTTCTCAAATTGCTATTTATAGAACAGTATGAGTCTCAGAAGCAGAAACTTCGCGTCCGTAAACACTTATCATCATCTTCGTGTTTATCTCTCGCTTGCGACTTGCTCTGTTCTCCATTTCTTTCTCTCCATCTCCAGTTCTCATTTACTCTTCATGGTTGGTTCCTTCTCGGCTTCCAAAACTTTTCATTTGGTGAGTTCATTTGATCTTCTTCCCCACTCATCCGCCGCCGCCTTAAGGCCGCCGCCTTAAGACGCATGCGTACATCGAGCAATACGAGCAGAAACAGTTTTAGCCCGTCCGCAGATATAGCCTTGAGAAGAGCCATCTTCAACATCCTCTGTAAAAGTCAGACTGTTATTATTCTCTTTTCTTGTCACCATGATCTCTGTTTACGCCGTTTATCACCACAAGATTTGATGATCAGAAAACTATTTCTTTAGGTTTCTCCAGGAGCTGGAATGTTAAAACCAGATGCTTCGGTGCAGGTGAAGGTTCTTCATGAAGACTTTCTCAAATTAGATGAGTCCTTTGATGGCATCCAACAAAACTTATCGCGTGAAGAAACTTGTGACAAAGAAGTGACCCTGGTGATAAACATCCAGGGAAGCTGCTCGACCAGAACAACAAGCCACTCTATCAAAGTCTGCTACTGCTTCTCAGCAGCCAAATCACTTAGCCTCCCTTACCCACACCCACCAGCATGAGAAAGAGTCTAGACGGTTCCACTCGTTACCAGACAGATACTCACGGCGGTGGAACCAGCAGAAGGGGTTGAAGATGATTCCTGTTAATATCACACTGTCGGTAGATTTTAGGAAGCAGTCGAACTGTGAAGCCATCTAATGAAATGCATCTAGACCCAATTCAGGTTATAGTTTCTTCATTCTCGTTTTCTAGTTCATTGGCTATCAGAAAAGTGTATATTGCGTATTTGCGTTGATACTTCAAATAACTCATTTTTTTTCTTCTGAACCACTTCAAATAACTCATTACAGATCTATTATTAGGTATAAAACACAAGTTATATATTGGTTATTTCTTACATGAAGTCACCGAATTTATCTACAAATGGGTTGGTCATAGTGCATACATTTTTCGTGGTGTATTCACCGTTTAGAATCTCTGAATCAGAATGTATACGAGACATAGAGAAGACTGAGACTTGCTTCTCTCTTTCCTTATGCTCTTCAATTTAGATTCCTCCATCCTATGCATGACCACACAGTAACAAACACATCGCACCAATCGTTGTCAACATGATGGTGCCGCCAATAACGGTTGCATACATGGCCAACCACATCTCCTCTTTGCCCACAACAATGTAAGAGAGAGAAACAAAGGCAATGGATATGAACAAACAAGCACACCACATGAGCTTGTTGATCACAAACACAAGCTGCTTCTTCGCCTTCTGCTCAATCTCAACAACTGAAGTTTGGACCACAACAACAGCTAAGGATATAAACAGTGCCAAGCTGTCAAAGACAAAGAAGACCAGAAACGGTGCTTTATTTAGCAAGACTCCTTTCAATCGAGCCTTTTCATATTGGCCTGGGATTGTGAAGAACAGCCACGACGGTTGCTGAGTTTATAGCGTTGTTTAGACAGCTAATGTGCAGCTTCTTGAGTCTCTTTGTTATCTTCAGGACCCTCACACCGGTTTGCCTTGATGCTGAAGCTGAGATTGTACCTCATGCTTTATGTCACTGACCGTTTGCTTCAGTTGCTTAGCTGGTTTTAAGGCTTCCCTAGATCTTTACGGTAACAGCTCCTACTTCTCTCAGAACCGACACAAGCTCTGCGTTTCCTATCTTCTCAGCTGTATCAAGTGGCGTATCCAGCTTTGTTTATTGGGTTGAGGTTAATTCCTTCAAAAGATACCAAATACCTCACTATCTGCAGAGAAGTCGATCAACATTATATATAAGAACTAATAGGATAACTGAAGAAAGCAAGCAAAGAGTCTTGCTACCTTAAATGCTCTTATTTGTGGCAATGTGCAATGGAGTGTTTCCTATATTATTCACAACGCTCAAAACCGTAACATCAGGTTTCACCAACTCAACAACGATCCCATCATTTTGACCTTTCACAGCCATGTGAAGAGCAGTTTGTCCCTTTTATCAGTTCTTTTTTGTTTGTTTTTGCACGTCCCTTTTTATCAGTTCTAAACCCAATGCTTGGTTCATTACCTATCAAAGATGTAACAGCTTCCACATGACTCATCCTTGGTTCAGAGTTCCAGCGCGGTTTTACCGTTGTTCTTAGCTATCTTGGTCAAATTAGTCTGGTCTCCAAAAGCAGATTCACCACATGAATGTGTCCTTGTGTTGCAGCCGTGTGTAACGCAGTTGTACACGACGAATCTATTGTCATTTCCAAGTTTGGGAATGTCCCATAAGTTTCTTCAACACCTCTGCAAAAGAAGAAAAGCCAAAGTAACAGAGCAATCCATGGATGGTTCTATAGTCTCACTGAAAGGAAGTATAGAGCTTTTATTACCAAGATGGCCTTGTTTAGCTGCGACATGGAATGGATCAAACCCATTTCTAGCTGCTATTGAAGCAGTTTCAAGATTCATATGCATCAACATGTCCACAACAACAACCGAATGACCATTCTCTGCTGCAGTTTAAAGAGGAGCCTCTCTTTCAAAACATAATGGATTTGGAACAAACCCATATCCTAAATAACTTAATGTAACTGCATTTGAGGGTAAAATCTTGGCAACACGTATTTCAGGACAGTTACATAAGTATATGTTTGGTTAACCATCCATATCTAAGAAGTATTGTATATTAGCATTTTAATGCGCCGTGGGTGGAATATGACAAAATTTTGACTAGTAGATTGTTGTTTTCCGCAAGTGGTATACGTAAAAGAAAAAAAGTCACTTTTGTTTCCAACTCAAACTAGATTGATGTACTTTGACTGACAAAGTGGTCCCTCTGTGTTTGATCTCTAGTCTCGAGTCTTTTGGAGGTCACCACAGTAGCTTTTATGAAATCAAAAGTGTGGTTTATTCATCGTAGGAGGAGATAACTATTGGGAAAACCGAAGACGAGCGAAGATTATTAGTCCTCCTAACAAAACATTTTTGTTTCTCAAAATATAATAGAGTAACTGAAATGAAATAAACCAAGTCTAAAACATATCTACAGTCGCTCTGGCTCGGTCTTTAGGTTGGCTCATAAATGTGTAATGAAACTTTTATCTTCAAAGTCTTTTTTTGTGTTGTTCCATGGATACAGTCTTTAACAGGTTTACTAACCTGTTAAAGGGAAGGAGTATCCACGAAGATACTTGGAGTCTACTCCTGATTCACGAGCCAAGGCCACACGCCCTGTTCTTGCAACCTGTTATTATTTGCTCATTAGAAACACAACACGATGCTTAAGTAACAATGCTTGTCAAACTCATTTCTTGTTCTACGCACAGCCCGAAAACGGAGAATACATTAGTAAATGGGTTCTGCTTTTGTTATTGATTTTACCAGAGACTTAGATTTCACACTCCTCTGTTTCTATGTCAACAAGCCTACAAACTTCTACATGTTTCAACTTTATTTGAACAACTGAGCCTTCTAACTACGGCTTAGGATTTTATCAAGACCTATTATACGCTAGTGCCTGTTTTCATAGCATTACTGCGTTGCAAGTTATATATCATTGACTAAAAGATGAAAATCGATTGAAACACTAACCTCGCATATACCGTAGGGCTCCAACAACCTTTGCAGTGCAACCATCTTGTCAAGATCCCCAGTAAGCTGTATCCACACCAAACAAATCAACAAAACCAAAAAAAAAAAACTAATGGAGAAAGGGATTCAAGTCTGCTTCATATATTTTGTCAAACAGAACTCTACTTTTGTCAAAATGATAGAAAGATGTGTAATTTTCAAGACGTCCAATGGATAGGATCTCTTATCTGATCTGCAGCCACAGTTTATAAGAAATGTGTGTTAACCTGCAAAGTAATTGTATGATCGGATACGTCAACAGCTTTTGCCCTGAAAATATTAGCAATGTCCAGGACATCTCTTCTCGCGGCAGCGTTCACAGCAATCTTGATCAGCATCAGTTCTCTTTCAGCAAATGGCAAATGAGTAAGATCATGGACCTGCAGGAATTCCCACAAAATTAAAAGCTTCTTGGAAAATTATGGTACATCATGCTCAGGATTCTTCTCATCAAGCTTGTACAATTTTAGACTCCTGGAAATAAAGGTCCCATTCGAATAAACTCATAAGAGTTTAGGACGCAGAAAAAGATGTAGGAAAGCCCATAGAGGAGTCAACAATATTCTTGTGTGTATGATCTATAGTTTAAAGAATAGAAAAAAGGGAAAAGAGTAAAAGATATAGCCATCAGGAGCACTCAAACTGTTACATATAAGACTAAAGACAATTGCTTTTTGTGATCCTACCTCATGCACATCTACGAGTTTATAAAGTTGCTGCACCAATTTGCTGACTGATTCATCTGTTGCAGGAACAACTGTTGTAATGCGTGAAATGCCCTCTGCTTCAGCATGTCCTACAGCCAAGCTCTGAACCAAAATAAGATCAGTCAGCGTATCAGTGTGTATGTGCGTGTGCATGTGTGAGAGATACCTGAATATTGTATCCCCTTCGAGAGAAAACACCAGTTACAAGGTTGAGGACTCCTGGAACATCGTTTACAAGCAAAGACAGAGTATGTGACCGTAGTCCACTCGTCTGAAAGATCAGAAAAGAAGAATTACAAGAACTGAAAAGAAATCACCTAGCAAAAAACTGTCACCTATGCAAGTATCTTACACACAATCTCCACAACTATCTTACACAAACCATGGATTTATGTAACTATATCGAACACACCTGATCATGCCTACCTTTAGATATAGGGAAATGATTGCGTCCATACGATATTAACAGTAATAATTATTCAAACTTAGAGTTCCAAACAACCAGATTGGACAAATAGGTGGAATTCTTGTAATGCAAACCAGATTCATGGCACGTATACCTATGGCAGTATCTATGAAATATATATATAGCAGCAAAGTCACTTACATCTTCGTCCGTGAGAAGTCCCCAGTGAGCGTCAAGAACACGATGTACCATTAGGTCAGAAGTTGACTCAACGGGATAAACATCTCCCTACATTTAAAAGCAAAGATAACTTTTAACACTGGAGGATAAGTAAACTTGTGCAGAGATTTAAGGAGAAGAGAAGCACACACCCCTGCTGTGGTTTCAATTGGAGCGACCACAGCTCCTGTTTTGCTACCTCGAAGAATATTAACAGGTGCTTGCTCCTTGAGATCTGGATAAGACGCTGCTGAAAATCGCCAAAATGGGGCAGTAGCACCCATCTTTTCCCTTCGCAGAGCGATCTGTGATTTAAAATCATCATTGCATATTCTCTAAATTAGTGAAAGTCCACGATTTCTATGTATTTTCTGTCCATTAAAAGATGTAACTATTACATAAATCCATTCGAAGCAGAAACTGGATGATAATATGATGTTCAGAGGCCTTACAATCTAGTTTCTCATAAAACCCAATTACCTTTCCTGTCCTGACAATCTCTCTGATCTGAAACTTTTTCAGACTTCTTTCTACAGCAATCATTTTCCCAGGATCTCCAGTTACCTGCAAGATAGCTTAAAAATGAATACTAAAAAACTAAAATATGTATCCTAGAGAAACTGATTTTTTATCCTACTTCCATATAATCAAAATTAAAATAAGATTATGTGTATGTTCTTGTTTCCTAAACAATCACAAACAACACTGAGCACTCCCACAGAAATCAGGACAGACAATAGAACACAAATTATTGGCATAGTATGATCGACTGTAGCATTTTTTTTAATAACTTCCTCGTTATATTAAGTTAGTAGACAGTCAAATAAGAAGATACACCATAAGTGCCGAATAAACCTTAGTAAACAAACATAAATTAAATCTTTGTCCAGAAACGAAATCCTCCATGTGGATCATCATCACCGTTCAAAAAGCAGAGAAAATCCAACCGATGTATAGAAATTATCAAATGATACACTAGACAAAAAAAGAGTTATGTCTTCCGATGATAAGTAAAGAGGATAAAAACAGAAATCCAGAACCGATAGGCGAAACAAATATTAATAAGAGCACAAACTATAAGAAAAAATGTACCTCAATAGTTAATGCATGCTCCGCAATATCAACAACTTTTGCTCTGAATGTATCAACTAGCCACATGATCTGTAAATTTATTAAACAGAGTCCAGTGTTAATATGAAAGAACACCTTTACACTGAATCCAAAGCAACAAATAAGTACATTAAAGTCTAATTTTCTCATAAGCAAGGGAGACTACCTCAGCCCTGGATTCGGGATGTGCATTGACTTTGACAAGCATCAGCTCACGCTCCACTTGCGGCTCACTCGAGATATCCTCAACCTACTCAATTCAGGAATTTGCAAATGTAATCTTCACCAAAAAAAAGAAGAAGATAAGTTTAATGTAGAAAAGTGACAACCTTGAGAACGTTAACGAGTTTCTGAAGCTGCTCAATGACCTGCTGAAGAACCCGTTCAGTGCCAGAGACAACAATAGTGAAGAGAGCCTTGTCTCTGTTCAAACCAACAGCAAGACTCTCGATGTTGTAACCTCTCCTCGCAAAGACTCCTGCAATCCTATTAATCATTCCACTCTCGTCTCCAACGAACACTGAGATCGTGTGCTTCCTCACCCTGATAACAGACAATAATCAAGAAACAGATAACAATATTACGAAAACACGAATTCAAAAGATTATTTAAATGTACTTCGAGTTTGGGGTTGCGTCGGAGGCTCTCTCGTTGACGCTTCTAACGATTCTCTTTTTCGCTGTTTCATTGTTGTGGTTGGAAGATTTATGGGAGAGATGAGAGATCTTTGTCGGGAAGGATACCCGCGTCGAGGGTATGAGGAGATGGGGAGAAGAAGAATGGGAAGATGAGGATCTCAAGCGGTGAAGAGATGGGGAGGAGCTTGCGGAAATGGCCGCCATTTGAAGTGACGAGGACGAAAGTTTTTGATAGTTTTGAGGATTGAAGAGTGGGACCACTCTCAAAGATGTTTGGGAAGGGGTGTTTCTTGTAGACCCTCACTCAGATTAGACTTTTCAGCATATCTGTTTGGATTTTTAATTATATTTTTTATTTTTGCTAAATTGGATTTGAATTTTCTCAGTTTTTTGTAAAAAAAATTGACTATTTTTATTTCAACTATGTATTTATCAAATACACAAACTATCAAAAAAATTAAAATATATAACCTATAAACTTGAATAATCATCGAAACTAAAAATGAAAGTGAGTATTTTTACTACTTTCTTTGGAAATTTTAAAATTGTATTAACTTTAAAATATAATCTAAAGTATTTCTTTATTTATTTAAGTTTTCATTACTCATTTCAGATATTCAATTAGATTTTTCGCTTTGAGATTAGAACTTTGGGTTTTTCGATACTTTTGAATACTGATTCTAGTTTGAGTAATTAGATTGACCAGATTGGATTTAGATTTTTATAGTCAAACTGAAAATTGGATAACTATATGAAATGGATAGTGAAATAAATTTTGAATTTTATTAAATAAAACTTGTGAATCTTAAAACTGATATGAATGTTTTAGAGAAATTCTCTATGATAGATTTAAAAAAAAAACAAATTGTCACTAATATAAATCTTAAAAATAAACATGCTCAAAATAGATAAATAAACATGCTCAAAATAGATTTAGATATTTTATCAAAATTAAGAAGTAAATATATTTATATCTCTAAGATTAATTAATCTAGACATTATGGTTTTGAATTAAGAAATGAGGTTTAGGGTTTAGAATTAAGAAGTAGGGTTTTGTGGATAAGATTTCAAATTAATAAATTTCAAATTAATAAATTTCAAATTAATAAATTTAAAATTTTCAAAATAAAAATACGATTTTGCTCATTTTAGTTTTTGAATTCTATTTTTATGATAAAATTTTCAAAATATTTATTTGAGAGAACTACTCATGTTATTAACAGGTGAAAAAGATAGAAAATGATGTCTAATGTTAAAAGTGTGAAATAATATGTATGTAAACATCATATCTTAATGGTTTTTTTTATACTTGGTTAGAATTTTAATCTGAAATTAGATTTTTGATCTGCGCTTAAAAAGCGTGTGTACTATTTTTGTTGTTTTATCTATAAATGAATCGATAAGTCTTTTGCTTTGATGATACAAAATCAAAATCAAGTTATCATGCAGATATGAAGAAATTTTTATTTTACAATGTCTCAGACAAATTTTTTATGTTTCTAAATATATTAACAATGTTGTATCTCAAATTTGTACTTGAAAACGATTGTATATTTAACAATTAAATAACCCTTTTTAAGTTTTGTGATTAATTCATAAAATCATTTAGTTACAAAATTTCTTTATCTAATATAACTTTTGAAAATTAATGCAGATTTTAATTTATTATTATCATCAATATCTATGTAAATGTATTGTATATAATTGTATAGTTTTATTTAGGAAAATAATATCAATAAACTACACCTGATGTTAGGAAGCGGGTCAAACTCGCTTCGTCCGACCCGCTCTGCAGCGGATATAGTCATGTTTGTGACTTAAAAATTTGTTCCGTCTGATTCATAAAGAAAATATATTTTTGTAAAAAAAAGTTTTATAAAATTTGAAAAAGAATCAGCCTATTAATGAAAACTATAATTATATTTTTAGGCCCAAATAAAAATGACAAAATTATCAATAATGATAAATTTAGTTTGTATATAAGAATAAGAGTATAATTTAAAAACATAAAAAAATTATTAAACATAATATTTCTGGTTTAATGGTGTTGATAAAAAAATTATTAGATTGCATATTATAGATCTTCAGCAATGCACATGGTCTTAATTGATTAGGACGACTACACATCAACCTTATCCACACAATTTTCAACTATATGACAAAATGTGAATTTTGCAAGGTTAGTTTCATAATTACGAGAAGCTTAGGGTTAACTCCACAATTATAAAAACAAAATAATATAATTACCGGTAAAGCCACCCGTAATAAGTGGACGACGATCAATAATTAGCAAGAGTCCAAATTTACGCGGGAGTTGCCACACAATGATTGAAAGCGAAAGTCAAATCAAAGTCAATCGGAAACAGACGTCGTCCCCATAATAAATTACCCAAATAAATACAATTTAATTTAATTTCCACTTGATAACCAAACGCGCTCCAACCGGATCTCATTCAATTAACTTCCTCTCTCCTTTCAATCTCTCAAAGAACACAAAAAAAATGTGATTTAAGATTATCCGTTTGAACTTTTAGATTTTGAAATCCGAAGAGATGGCGAACCTCGCGGTCCAGCTAAAACGTGGAATCTCGAGGCAACTCTCATCCGTATCGCTTCGCCGTACGTTCAGCCGCCAGTTCACGCGGCAAGCGTCGCACGATCCTCGCCGTAACAACATGCGATTCAGTTTCGGCAGGCAATCTTCTCTGGATCCGATTCGCCGGAGTCCTGAAGGTTCTTCTGATCGTCCGCAGCTCGCGGTGCCTGATAACCTCGACGCAACGATGCAGCTACTATTTGTGGCTTGTAGAGGGGATGTTGAAGGTGTTAAGGATCTGATTGACGAAGGGATTGATGTGAATAGTATTGATCTTGATGGGCGTACGGCTCTTCATATAGCTGCCTGTGAAGGTCATGTTGATGTTGTGAAGCTTTTGCTTACTAGGAAGGCTAATATTGATGCTCGTGATCGTTGGGGAAGCACGGTAATGTTAAATTTTCAAGGACGTTTATAACTGAATTTGAAATCCAAATTGATCTAAATCGGTTAAAGATAATTATCCGAATGGGGTCTAAAAGTTAAGTACTTTAGATATCCGTTATTACCAAGATACGAACCGAAATCAAACTATTCTTCAAAAAAACTTGAAGATAAAACTTTTTTTTTTAAAAACCTATTAATCCATTTTCCATAAATTGATAGAGAGGAGTTCTTGTCCTTTTTTGCTAATTCATATACTTTCTCAGTACTTTTAGATATTTTTAGTTTGGATAGTTTTACTAATGTTCAAGAAAGTACTTTTTGATATTTTTAGTTTGCCTATTAATCCATTTTACATAGTCGATAGGAGTTTTTTTTATGTCTAGACCAACTTTATAAAAGTTTCATTTAGGTCCGAATTTTTTCGTATAATTGGAGGAATAGTCGGCCGGCCGCCTAAACCGATGTTTAGAACACTTTTACCAAGTTTTCGAGTAATTTAGATATTTTGAATATTATTTTTTAGTAGTTTTTCTAGATTTTTTGGTTGATTTCGGACATTAGATAAAATCAGGGAGAAACTAAATCGAATGCTACCTAAATATTAGAATTACCCGAATAAAAAGTTCAAGAATCCAAAACCGAGCTGTGAAACCTACTTGTGTCTCTTTTAGTAGGTGGTCTTTTGTGCTTTTGCTCTGAAACTTTGGTGTTCTTGTGTGGATAGGCAGCTGCTGATGCTAATTACTATGGTAACATGGACGTTTACAACATCTTGAAAGCCCGTGGAGCCAAAGTTCCGGTATGCATTGATCCAGCTCTGTTCCATTTCGTATAATCTCAAATGACTTTTTGTAACAATTTTTTTTTTCTTTTTTTTTTGGTTTTAGAAAACGAAAAGGACACCAATGGTTGTGGCGAATCCTCGTGAAGTCCCTGAATACGAGTTAAATCCTCAAGAACTTCAAGTTCGGAAAGCTGATGGTATCTCTAAGGCAAGCCCTCTTTGCTTCACTTTCTTGTGGATATTGTTTTACATTTCCAATTAATATGTTTGTAACAAAATACTACAATCACTTGCCAGGGAATCTATCAAGTGGCTAAATGGAATGGGACTAAGGTATCTGTAAAGATACTTGATAAGGATCTCTACAAGGATCATGAAACCATGTATGTTCACTCTTCTCTTTGATCAGTATCCGTCCAAGTTAGCAAACATGTCAAGCGTGATGTTGATTTTCTTCCTACGTTAAGCTATAAATAGTTGAAGCATTTACCATGCTACTAGTGATTGATGATATCATGACATAGTGTTTGTTTTTATGTATTACGTTTGTCTAAAATTATATTATCTGAATGATCTTACTTACCCACAGAAACGCTTTCAAACACGAACTTACTTTATTCGAAAAGGTTCGTCATCCTAATGTTGTGCAATTTGTTGGAGCGGTTACTCAAAATGTCCCCATGATGATTGTGTCTGAGTATCATCCTAAAGTAATCTTCTTCTTCTTTACAAGATTTGTCCCTCTTTAAACAATCTTTTAGATTCTATGAAGTAATTTTTTTGCTTGGGTGTATCTTTCAGGGCGACCTTGGGAGCTATCTTCAAAAGAAAGGACGCCTTTCTCCATCCAAAGTTCTAAGATTTGCCCTCGATATAGCCAGGCATGTACTCTCTTCTTTTTTTGCAAGATTGTATAGAACTACATTACTATTAATGTTCTGAACAAATCATTTGGCTCTTCTCAGGGGAATTAATTATCTTCACGAGTGTAAACCAGAACCAGTAATCCACTGTGATCTAAAACCCAAGTAAGATAACTAAATAACAAGAACATATTGTCGGAAAATGCCCCCAGTTATCTAATTTTCGCAACTTCTTGTAAGGTGGCAGAAATATTATGCTCGATAATGGTGGACATTTGAAGGTGGCGGGATTTGGTTTGATAAGTTTTGAGAAGTTCTCATCAGATAAATCAAAAGTCCTTAATCACGGGGCACATATAGACCCTTTAAGTAAGTTCTAAATGCTTTATCCTTTCTGACTACCTAAAAGAAGTGTGTACATATGTCATATCATCTGATTAACTTTGAAGGCTCACATATTTGTTGGTGTATAATGTAACATTTATAAACTTTGATACAAGTACAGAAACTGTTTCTACTTTTGATATATTCATAAGAATGATTGAATTCACGAGCCACAATTTTTTGCAGATTACTGTGTGGCACCTGAGGTTTACAGAGATGAAATATTTGACAGA